TGGATGAAATTGATTACCCGCGCTCTGCTCATAAAAATAAAACTGCCAGGTTTTACATGGGTACATGCTATTTTGCATGATGCATTATTAATTTGGTTGAGACATGGTTACCAACCATCAATAGTTCTCAGTACAACTCGGGTTTGGGAACTAGCCAAACATTATACATTTACGAGTTTTTGGTTGTGTTATCTATATGCCTATTGCACTGCCACAACGTATTGAAATGAGGCATCATCGCGGATTAGGCATTGATATTGAACACCATCTATCATTCAACATTTGGAACCCTTGACTGGGGATATATTTACCGCATGATTTGCGGACTACGATTTTGATAAGACAATTTTCCCGCTTTTAGGGGGAGAAAATAACATCATTCCAGAAGAACGATGAGAAAATATCATTCCAGAAAAATGATGAGAAAAGACCGTTCCAAAAGAACGAAGAGAATTTGTCTTATTTTGATTCATGAAGCAATCTATATAAAAACGAAGTGAAAATGATTAAATGATGCAACGATATGCAAATCAAATGCCAGATGCATTTAATGATGCAACGAAAATGATAACATCACATATACTTGCTACAAATGTGCCTATAAGAATTGATGTCCCTGTTGGACAAAATCATAAGGCAGTAAATGAGTTATCTGTTGCACGCCTGAAGCGTGGCAAACTCTCAGACTCAAAATGTTTAGTCATTAGAAAAAAAAAAAGAATATGGCACTACTGAACTATTGCATTCCTGATGCATAACTGTTGCATGCCGGAAGCATGACAGTCGCCGCATTAATACATGGTCTAGAAGGACAATCTGTGGACATGGGAATGTTGATGTCTCATGCATGAAACATGATAGACGTATAGGTTCCAAATGACTCAAACCCTAAAAGTGGAGATTAAAATCCAAGCTCTATAACGCTCCAGAGGAGGTTATGATCCACATTCTCTAAATTATGACTATTTTGGGAGATATAGTATAATGCCCTTGAAGAGGCAATGGATATCCAAAGAAATGAAAAGTTTTTATGCATGCACATGCACATGCACATGAAAATATGGGATCACAGATTGATGATAACCAATGGTAATTTTGGTTTTTTAAGTAGCTACTAAATTCATCAAATGAGCTGTGTTGATATTGAGTCTCGTTCTTTTTCATGAAAGGAAAAATTATTGACCAAAGATGGAGAAAGGCAATTCCATTACAATTTTGTAAGAACGTGGAAAAATAGACCTATATACTTGAATACAATACAAATAGCCAAAAGATGTTGAACCTAGAAGGTTACATATGGGCATTTGTAATACAGTGAAATACACTCACATGATATGACACAAGGTTGTAAACGAGTTCATATGAATGGAGAATTATATACGAAGGGTTGTGAGTCGCCCACATCATATCTCCATAAGTAAATCCCTCAAGTATACATAGGAGCAAATTGCTCTATATAAATTTCAAAGGAAAATGTGTCATCAAGTGTAGAAAATCCCTGAAGGATTCAAATTGCTTAAAGTAAGCCCCGGAAGGGTAAAACATAAATTATGTACTTAATACCAATGCATGGTATAAATTGCCTTAGTGAGTACTATTATTATGATATTGTTGCAACACACTAAAATATCTTGCAAGAGTTGATGATACTAAATTAGAACTCCTGAAGAATTGATGATATTAAATTGAGACTCCTGAATAGTCAAGAAAGATTATAAGGTGTTGAGAGAAATATTGTCTCAAGCTGCAGATCGAACAATCTACCAACACGAATCTTATCCATGATATTTATGATATTAAAGAATCATATAAATTGAAGATCATGAGTTGAACACTCAAGTGGTTATTAATATTTAGACACTAAGAAAAATCATTCATCCTCGTAAGGGAGAAGATGAATTGATATTTGGTCCAGAAGTACCACATCTTAGTGAAGTATATGCTTTATTGTATTTGACACAATACATTGAATAAAATAAAGCTTATCTATTGATATCTCCGAGAAATTACAGACATGTACATACACATGAAAACATGATGGAGTCTTCACAAAGGTTGCTCATGTGAAGCCTCAGTACTTGGTGAAACTCCAGATGGTTGAGACAATGAGTGTCTTTGGAATAAAGACTTGAACCACTGATTGTCACTTCGAGTCCGACCTTCGGATTTTAGTAGCTGGTCAAGCTTTCTTTTCATGCTCGTCGAGTAATTATTTGCAAGCATGTGTAACACTCTATTCTCGTGCTTGAGCCCTCAAATCTCTTGTTTAAGACTTGCCACCTCAGCCATCAATGATTCAACTTGGTGAGTTCGAGCAAGTAGGCGTTGGCCCATATTAGAAACAGAGCTTGCACACTGAATACTGAGAGCTAATGAGTCTTGAACGGCTGCCTCATCAGACCGGTTTGAAAGGATTCTGTTATCCTTGAGAGTGAAAAGATTCTCAGCTACCATTGTAGCGGTCAGGTCATTTTTCATCACAGAGTCCCCAACTGTAAGAGAACCATTTGGAGATAAGAAAGACGGGTGCCATATATTATACTGATGAGGCTTGCCTGTATTAGTCCTAAAACTCAAATCTAAGCAAATGTTAGATGGGCAAGCCATTTTTCAGAAATGATGAAGGAAAAAGCAGGTCATATAAAATCTCAGAAGTACAAGAAGAGGAAATTTCTGCAGGCGACAATTTTCTGAGTGTATCTGAACAAAATTGATATATCTATAAAAGATGAGGCAACATGGTCACCTGTTCAAAAATCGAAGAGACACTACTCTCCGAATTTCAAAAGCCAAATTTTCCTGAATAAAGTTCGTTGGCATTTTTCAAATGCAATCTCAGCTTTTTCGGATATCGCGTGCAACTTTGTCAAAGATCTCTGACAAAGTTGAAAACACGTAAATCTTAATGTTCTAATTACATCACAATTGCTGACAAGAGTAAAGATACATCACCACTACCTGCTATTGGGAAATCCCTATATATGTCAACCTATGTGCTCCATAATAAGGCAGACCTGCAAGAATGTTTAACTCTTTCTCATCTCCGAGAATGCATATTCAACACAACATCTCGAAATACTCAGTTTTCTTCCTCTCTGAGAATACCTCTTCAAAACAAGTCATACCAAAGCAAAAGTACCTCATATTATCAAGGACGAGAGCAAGAGTATCTCATATCATGCAATCTCCCTATCATTTCCTTTGTCATTATTCTTACCTGCAAAGAAAAGGATAAAGAAAGCAATATGTCGGAACCTCCACTCAAACTTTCGGTAAGGAATTGACTGCCTGGAACCTTTCCTGATTGCTTACCTAGTATTGCTCTCGAGTAGCCATCTTCAACTATTTTTGGAGCTAGGTCTCCAGTCACTAAAAAGTGATGAACCATCCAAATGCAAATGTTGCATTCCACTCATGCATCAGTGAACAAATACTACAAGAAAAGATGCCACACATGCATAAGGGAAAATCAGGGACAATACCACTTATGCAAGGGGAACAAGTAAGGCAAGTGAAAATGATACATTGAAGCATGTGGAGACAAGCGCAACAAACAAGTACTGATTCATCGCCGACAAAGCCGAAGATCACTTGCCACGTGAAGCTCCTCATGGTCCAATTTCATTCAAAATCAAGCCTCGAAGGTCCTTGAAGAAATCACAAGTCCGATTCAAGATCAAGTGTCCACCATCCTTGAATCAAATTCCACTCCAGATAAAAGGAGTAAATTCAGACATTTGATGCAAGTCTAGTAGAAAGCCTTTCAGACCAGTTCAAGAAATAGCCTGTGGAAAGTTAACAACAAGTAAAACACCTCTTTCGACAACTCTTTTTACTAAGAGACTGAAGCAGAATGATCAACGATTAGTCTAAATAATTTGAAATCAGGGGGAGATACTCATCATGAGGAGTATCCAAAAATAGATCAAGATTTTAATGAGGCAACTGATATTGATATGTGGGCATCCAAGGGGGAGTGTTGAAAATACTGGTGGGTTAATGAATGCCCACAGTGATATTGAAAACCTTGGTAGAATTTTTCAATGTCCACACATAGATTTTCAATACCCACACAAAGTGATGTAGACTTTGGAAATAAAAGATATCGTATTTTTAAAGTCATGTGCTGTAAATTTCAAAATGTTAGAATATGTTTGTCTGGAGTTGCTCTATAAATAGAGTGTTTCGACTGCTATCAAAATATACAGAGAAGTAAGGAAGTTCACGAAAGAGGAAGAGAGAGAAAAGAGGAAGAGGAGAGGAAATAATAGAGAGTTATCTTTGTACTACTATTATTCCAGACTCTCAATGAAAACACCATTGGTGTCCCGAGGATGTACTGCAGTCACACTGACTGTAGAGGAACTTCGTAAATTTTGTGTCTTGTTCCATTTATTCCACTGCACACACCGTCAATTTTATAACAATATATGGGTAATTTGCTACATAACCAAATGACACTAATTAAACGAAGGGTAATGCTAGGGAGACTAAATTTGAAGACAAAATTTGCAAACTAAATTATGTGTCATCAATAGAAATAAGCACGTTTATCAGTGCTTAAATAATAAACCAATCATTGACTTTCATGTTCTTTAGTTTTCAAAATTTTGTCTTCAAATTTAGTCTTCTTAGCATTACTATAAATAAAAAGGACATACACTAATGACTAGGTAAAATGGAAATTTCAGTGAGCAGTACGTCATGACTTTGGCACCAAAAAAAGGATTAAAAATAAGAAAAACTAATAAAAATGGCTTGAAAACTTTGAGTTTTAATTATAAGGACAAAATAAAGGGTAAAGTAAATAGTACCAATATTAATTTTTTAGCTTAAAAATGTGGTTTTTTTGTTAAAGTGAACAATATCAGGAATTTTTCATTAAAGTTCCCTTAAAAATAAAGAGCACTATCTACATTATTTTTCTTTTTTAGTTAAAAAATAAAATAAAATAAAGAGCACTAAACGCATCCCCACCTTTAAATATCGTTAGATGAAAGAAAGGGAACGCACAAACATATTGTTATATTGGATTGAAAGTTCTAATTCTCAGTTGTGCTATGAAAATGGCAGCCAAAAATATTGATGCAACTCTGTACGACCGCGTGAAGCAAGTGAAAGAATTCGACGAGTCAAAGATGGGAGTCAAGGGCCTCTCCGATTCTGGCATCACTTCCATCCCTCAATTTTTTATCCACGACCCTCAAACTTTGTCCGATCTCAAACCGCCGTACAAAAACACCACCACCACCATCCCCACGATCGACCTTTCCCACATCAACTCCGCTGCCCACCGCCCCAAAATTATTGACCAAATGAAATCCGCAGCCAAAAACTTCGGTTTCTTCCAAGTCACCAACCACGGGGTGCCTGTTTCTGTTTTGGGCGAAACGGTCAACGCTGTCAAAGCGTTCCACGAGCAGCCCCATGAGGTCAAATCCAAATACTACAAGCGAGAGGAGGGAAAGGGAGTCATGTATGCTAGCAATAACGACTTGTACCGCACGACGGCTGCCAGCTGGCACGACTCACTACAAGTGTGGATGAGTCCGGAGAGGCCAGAGGTGGAGGAGATACCTGAGGCTTGTAGGGAGGAGGTGGTTGCATGGGATTTGCATGCAACCAAGGTAGCGGAGGACGTGATGGAGTTGCTTTCAGAAGGGTTAGGGTTGGAGGGAAGGAGGTTTAAGGAGTTAACGTTTTCGGATAAGAGGGCGCTTTTGGGGCACTGCTATCCTTACTGTCCCCAGCCTGATCGGACTGTGGGGATTAGGGCACATACTGATCCTGGGATTATAACAGTTTTGTTGCAGAACCATGTGCCTGGGTTGCAAGTTAGGCATGGAAATGAGTGGCTGGATGTGAAGCCTGTGCCTGGAGGTTTAATTATTAACGTTGGAGACTTACTTCAGGTAAATCCAACGAGGCAATATCATGTTTATATTGTTTCTTCCATGAACAATTTTTCTTCCAACTGTGATATATTTAGTAACAGAGTATATCTCCTGATTTTACTTGACATTTGTGTTATAGTTAGTTGAATTCACCACGACATCGTCGGCACTGTACACAGCACTGTCTTGGATATAGTAACTTTTCCTATTTTTACTAGGACAAAAGTAAAAGATCTCTCGTGAGAAAGAGTAATGTTAGGAAAACTAAATTTGTAAACTAAATTTTGTAAACTAAATGATATGGAAGTTGATGATTGGATTATTACTTAATCGTTGATAAACGTGCTCATTTTTTATTGGTGACATCTCATTTAGTTTGCTAATTTAGTTTTCCTAGCATTACTTCACGAGAAAAAACAAGGAAGGTTGTCGATTTTTTGTTGGGAGTTTTAACGAAACACTCCCAGTAATGTTCACTTTTAACTAAAAGTTACAATACTTTTTTATCCTTTTGATTAAAACTCAATGTTTTCAAATCTTTTTCATTAATTTTCGTTTTTTTGTTTGGTCTATGATTCACCTCGTATTTTTTGTTGTTTTGCAAACTTTGTTTATTTCTGTCTCCTTAAATATCTTTTAATATTTCAATGTAAAGATAGATATTGCCGTTTTTATTGAATACCATGCATGCGGCTTATTCTTACAAATAAACAAAGTTTTAGAACTTTTCAATAAAGCTTAAAGGTGGAGGATACATGCATATATATCTTGACCAAACCTTACCTTTTTCTATGAAGAATAATAGAAAAATGGATCCATTTCCTCACCATGAATACGCATCAATCACGACCATATTTAATTAAAACTTGAACTAATCTATAATGGCCATACTTTTTCAAAGTTTGGTTTGATTATTGCTTCTTTCTTTCGTTTTATTTAAATTGATTATTTATTCTCTGTTCAATTAGGTTTATACCCTTTGTGTTTTTGTCTGAGGCTGCAGATAATCTCCAACGGGGAGTACACAAGTGTACAACACAGAGTGTTGGCCAACCCTTGGAAAGAAGCTCGGATCTCCGTCGTGATATTTTTCAACCTATCCAAATGGAGAGAAGATGGTTACTGTGGACCTCTTCCGGAGCTTTTGTCACCTGAGAAACCACCAGTTTATCGAGACTTCACTGCCCAAGAATTCCTTGGAAACTTCTATGGCAAAGGAATAGATACCAAGTCTCTGATTGAGAAAATCACTATAAAAAACTGATATATATATATATATATATATATATATATATATATAATATATCCATCTCTTTCCAGCATGTTTTTATGTATTGGGGTGATGCTAGTGGGAGAAGATATAAAATATGTGGTTTCTCTAGCATTTTCATTTGTATTATTCATTTGCAACATGCTTTCGAAGTTTAAGGGGGAAGAATGTAACACTTCATTTCCAAGCTAAGCTTTGTAGTGTGATTATTAGTGTTTGATTTCTGGATTGAGTTTCTTAATGGAAAAAATGAATACATAAATGTACAGAGAGGAAGATTAGAGAGCCATGGAAACTTCAAGGTTCATTGGATTCCTCATCTCACCAAGCAAGGAACTCGGAGAGCATATATTACCGTTAGAGGAGTGAGTAACACACTCACTCTCTCACATCATTACAACTCAATCACAACCATCCATTCTTAAGTCATCATGTAAGATGCTTACACCTGTCATGAGCTATGACTCATTACAATCTAATCTAGATGCCATATGGAATATGATCCAAAGGCTCACATTACATCTTAACTTGCATATAATAAAACCAACATAGCAAATACATTTATACACCGATACTCCCTTCTAAATGTTTTGCTAATTTCACTCCAAGTGCAACTCTCAAATACTCAAACTGATCTTTAGGAAGAGCCTTGGTAAAAATGTCTGCCAATTGCTCATTTGTTCTGCAGTAGTTCAATTTAATGATGCCATCTTGAATAGCATCCCTTATGAAGTGATATCTCATGTTGATATGCCTTGTTTTCTAGTGGAACACTAGGTTCTTGGACATGGCTATGGCAAAGGTGTTGTCACACACCAAAGGTGTAGCCTCCACTTGTTCCTCTCCAAATTAGATAACACAAACCTCAGCCACACTGCTTGTGTTGTAGCTTCTATAGCACTTACATATTCAGCTTCTGCAATGGATAGAGCCACACTGCATTGCTTAACTGAAGCCCAAAAAAATATCCCTGAGCCAAAGCTAAATGCATAGCCCGAAGTACTTTTCATATCATCCAAGCTTCATGCCCAGTCATTATCACAGTAGCCTATTAACACCGCAACTTTACCCTTCACATACTCAATCCCAAAATCTAGTGGCCTTTGTACATATCTTAAGACCCTTTTAGTTGTCCCCATGTGTTTTCTTGTAGGTTTATGCATAAATCTAGCTAATAAACATGATGCATACATCAAATCTAGTCTAGTAGCTGTTAGGTATAACAAGCTACCAACCATTTTTCTATATAAGCCTTCATCAGCATCCTCACTTCCATCAACCTTAGATAGTTTTTCATTGATTGCAAGTGGAGTCTTCACAGCTTTACAGTCTTTTAAACCAAACTTCTCAAGTAAAGACTTGGCATATTTCTTCTGATGGATAAATATGCCTTTATCAATTTGAATTATGCCTAAACCAAGGAAATGGTGCAGCATTTCCAAGTCTGACATCTCATACTGTTTCATCATATCCATCTTAAACTCTTGAATCATTTCATTAGAACTCCTTGTGTAGATAATGTCATCTGCATACAGAGACACAATAAGCACACATGCATTACTAAATTTAGTATACAAAGTAGCTTCACTTTGACTTTTCTTGAACCCAGACTTGTTGAAATATGTATCTATCTCATCATACCAAGCTCTGGGAGCTTGTTTCAGACCATATAAAGCCTTTTTCAGTTTGTAAAGTTTGGGTTCTTGCCCTTTGACTTCAAATCCCTGTGGTTGATCAACATATACTTCCTCATGCAGTGTACCATTTAGAAATGCATATTTGACATCCAATTGGAACAATTTCCATTCCTTTTAGGCTGCCAATGCAATCAAAGTTCTAATGGTATCAAGCCTTGCCACTGGTGCAAAGGTCTCATTGAAATCAACCCCAGGCTTCTAAGAGTAACCCCTTGCCACTAATCTTGCCTTGTTCTTCTGCACCGAGCCATCCAGATTAAGCTTTGTCTTATAGACCTATTCGACACCAATTACTGGTTTATCAAATGGCCTATTGACTAACTCCCATGTGTCATTCTTTTCTATCACTTCAATCTCTGTGGACATAGCTCTTCTCCAAGCTTCATCCCCTAATGCCTCTTCAAAACACTCAGATTTTATTACACAGAGATTGCACCTCTCATACACTTCATTCAATCTCCTAAACCTAATATGTGTGTGATCATACTCTTGTGGTCCATTGTGACTCACTTGTTCCCCTTGACTTAGAGGAGAAACAATAACTCGTTCTTGTTGCTCCTGTAATGGTTCTGTGCATTCCAATTCTTCATCATTATCTACAATTTCAACATCACTCCCTTCATCTTCATACATTTCATTTGAGACTGAAATGGGCAAATTCCTCTTAGCACATTATTTCCAGTCCTAACAAGAGTTCTCATCAAAGATTACATCTCTAGAGATAACGATCTTATTAGTTTTAGGATTGAACAACCTGTAACCCTTCTCACAGGTTCCATAACCAAGAAAAATGCATTTAACACTTGTGGGTGGGTTTGTTTCCCACTCAAAATTAACAGGAGAGCCCACCCTTTAAGTCCCTATACAGTCCTCACATTTGGGGTTTTCTTTAGGTATCGGGCGAGTCCCTTAATTTTAATTAAAGAGAGAAACCTCTAGTACAACAAACCCCATTACTAGGGGCACTTGGAATCGAAACACAAACCAAACTAAAACGCACGAAACGGTTCGATTTTTGCGGTTTTAAAATAGTTTTTGTTTGAAACCAAACCTCAAGAACATTTAAAAACTGCACTGAACCAAACCGCACCAGAAAAATTAAATGAATATTTAATCTATTATCAAAGGTAATTTATACTGTAAGCTTTCTTTACTTTATTGTTTCAATGTGTTTTGTTACTTTTGTAGTTTTTAATAGTTTATAACAACTAATGTAATTTATATTGTTTGTGTATTTATATTGTGTAGAGTTAACCAATTTGAATTCAATTACCTCTTATACTCTTAAACCACAACCACAACAACAAGCTCCAAGACAATCTCAAGCTTCTAGCTCATAATATTTATTGACTTCTCATCCATCAGTTTCACTTTCACGGGTTCCAAGGTCTTCCCATGTATCGCCTTCAACCTTCAAATAGTAAGTGTCCAAGAGGAAAAAGAGAGAGAAAGGGTTGATGGATGCAAAGTAGTGACTTAAAAGTTAAAGCACCAAAACCTCATTGTTGAATTGTGTGAACAATTTTATTTATTTATGGGTTGTACTACTGATGTCATAAGGCATGTTAATGTTGAAGTTGTTTTAGCTTTAGTTTTAGTACGGTAAACTTAACTTTTTCAATTGGGTTGTACTACAGTAGTGCCCTAAAGCATTTTGATGAATTTTATTTCAATTTGAATTTTAGTGTGGTGATCATAATTTTTCTTTCAATTGGGCTGTATTGATGGTATAAAGCATTTAGTTTGCAAATGGTTTGAAACCGAATTGAACCGCAACCAAATGGTTTTGGTTCTATTTATTTTCAAATTTCAAAAGTGCACTGCAAAAAATTTGGTCTCAATTTTGGTCTCACTCAAAACTGCACCAAACTAAACCTAGCACACCTTTACCCATTACAATCAAACGGAAAAGAACTTCTAGAAATAGTGGATAAAAACCTATCCCCAATATGTGTCATGTATCTAGTGACCAACACTAGTAATGGCATTGGGAATAAAATTTGCTTTGCGAAGGACACCAGACCAACAAATAAAAGAAAAAGAACTAGCTAGAGATCTGATGTAGTCAAAGATTGTCCTTAGCCACCAAGGAGTACTACACTTGTTCAAAATAACATCAATGATAAGGTTGGAATCTCCTTCAACATACAACTTCTTAAAACCCTTGACATTTTCAGTTCTCAAAGCATCACGCAAAGCAAGAGCTTCAACAACAGAAATGATACATTCTTCGAGATTGCGGGTACCAGCCACAGTAGGTGAACCATTAGAATCTCTTATGACAAACCAGCAACAGCCTGAGAACCCACCAAAGAGCCAACAAAATTAATTTCTATTTTAGGAGCATGGGGGTGGCCTCCACTTGATACTTTGAGATAAACCATGAGTTTCATTATAGGTATGAATTAATCTTATGTTTTATTGGCATGGTATACTGTCTGCCAACTATAGTAGCAACCATAGGGACCCTGGCAGGATAAACCTTGCAAATACAGAAAACAAGATTATTCATCATTTCACACTTACCAAAAAGTTAGAAGAGCCTTGCTAAAAGATAGAAAGCTCAAACTCATCTTTTGCATTTAGCTGGGATAGTCAGGAAATCAAATCTGAATTAGAATTCACATGAGTTCGGCCATTTGTGATCCTCCAGACATTATGAGAGATTGCAATCAACAAAGAGATGTTGATCTTCTTCATCACTGTTACAAACAAGGCAAATAAAGTTAGTATTAGGAAAAAAACTATGCAATCTCTTTCTTGTTTGTAATCTGCCTCAAATTGTTGAGAATATATTAATCCCACATTGATGAAATAAGGGATCTTGAATGTGCTGATAAGTAGTTGGGCTATTCCCCATATTGTCAATTGGTTTTATAGTGGAACCCCAACTTTCTTCATGATAACAAAGCAGGTTGTCTCACATGTAAAGCCCAAAGGCCTCAAGTGTTCCACATCACTCGAGTTGTGTTGTTAATGTGTAAGACTTGAAAGTTTGCCACACGTGGGAGTGTGTTGAGAATGAATCTCATATTGGTGAGAGAAAAGACATTTCAAGTGCTTATAAGTAATTAGGCTACTCCACATATTGTCAATTAATTTTAGGGTAGTTTTGATATAGGCACCTCTTTTTTTAATTTCTTGGATTAAACATCTGGTCCTTTTAATAATTTAATTAAACATTCTTCCTACAATTAAGGTGCCATTTATTTTATAACATCCTTTTATGCCATATTACACGATTTGCCATTATGATGTACCTTTAATTAATTAATAATTATCATGTTAATATCCCAAATCTCCTAAAATGTAGTAGATTAGTTTTAAAAATCTTAACACATCAAACCTGATCCAATTATGCTTCTAACGTGCATTTTATTCCTAACTTCATACCATACAAGTAACTAACGTTCTATCTTCTTCTACAACCATTAGCAATTTTTTCATGTCACTGCTTTCCTCGATTGGCGGATCAAACCCTCTTTCGTTCTCCCTTGTTGGTCATATTCATTTCCTTCATATTTCAT